GGGGCGGTGAGTGGCAAGGCCCCTGTCCATTGTGCTGATCTTCAGTCCACACTGAAGTACAGGCCCATGATGACCCGGCGTAGCTCTGAAGGCCCCGGCTTTAAAATACTCCACATGAAAACCCAGTAGTTTAAAGCATCCCAAGGAATGAAAGATGTAATCTATGATTAAGCTTTCTGTCCCCATCAGAGTAAACAAGCTTAGGGTATGGTGTAGCTCCCTACATTCATTTTGGTGGAATCTGCTTGGAAACTGCTGCTCTGTTCTGCCATCTTAACATTAAGTGTGGCACATAAAAGCCATTTCATAGTCATCATTAACCCTCTGCAGCTGTAGCAGCCCTCTCCAAGCTCATAACTCCCAGATATACCATACAGCAGCTCCCAGCTTGCTCCAGCCAGCTGGGGAAGCCTGGCCTGTACGTTTTCTTTACGGAACTTTCCTTGTGGTGGCTATCATGGAGACTCACCACAAACATCTGATCAGGTTGCTACACATTGATAGAATCATAGGGATAGGAGGGAGGAACCACTTAATGTTCATCTAGTCAAGCTCCTGGCTATGGAAGGAATATGCAGCTATATATTCCTCTGGCAGGTAACCATCCATTCTCTCCTTAATGGAAGAGAGTCCACCACCCTTCACGTCTGTCTGTTTACTGTCTAATAGCTGGTACCATCAGGAAGTCAATTCTCAGGTTGGACTGAAATCCTAATTACGACTGCATGTTGCAATTTAGGGGATTGTTTGTTGCAATTTGAACTAATTGGTTCAGATCATAACTCCCAGGACAAGAGAAAATAATATTATTCCATCCTGTTATGGCATTGCTATGGAGAAGCTATCATATCTGCAAAATGATATTCTGCAGTATACTGACTCTTAATCATGACAGATAAATAGATAAATTAGAAAAAATATATATGCAGACTAGAGGATGCTTTAGATTAAGAGTAGGAAACAAGTGCTCCACCGCATGTTTGAACTACATTTATCATGTTGTCTAGGAGTTGTGATTCAGTAAGAAATGGAGGACTATATTTTGCCCACCCTTTTTTTAAAGAAAATGTGAAATTCTCATCTAACACATCAGATATGATTGTTGCACAAATGTGCGCGCCTACTAAAATATCTGCATGTAAGACGGTCATGTATGATTATATATTAGGGTCTTAATAATATGTATTATCCTATGTTTCTGTCCATAGCACTCATGTAATTTTCAGCTTGGAAGCCAACCCGAACTACATTTTGATGTTCAGAAAAAATGACTATGGAACTGAATTTTATTTTAAAGATATTGCTGATTCATAATCAGTTTAGTTCATTTTTTATGTCTGACAGATTTTTATTTTTGTTTTTATTTTTCTGGTTGCTATTATCAGATTATAAAGGCAAATGATGCCTGTGAATGGTCATTCTGTTGACATTCCATGCGAACTTAGCAATACATTCCATTGAAATCAAAGAATTTTATGCAAGCTTTAGAAAAGAAAGTTGTGGCATAATTTTTATAGGCTTGAACTTACTTTTAGATACTGCTGTGTACAAGTCATCCAATAATAGAGAAATCCTGTGTTCCGGAATCTGGCAAGCACCAGAGGTCTGGGATTACAATTCTCACAATCTATTATCTGGTACAGAATAATGGGAGTGGTAGCCCAATATCAGAGAATATGATCCTAGGGGATCCTCTCTGTTTCCCTCCAACCCTCATTTATCTTTGGATGATGACTGAACATCCCCAATCCTCCAGCAACCCCCCCCCTTACGTCTACTATGAATA